GTGAGGGATTGATGGTGAGAAGGTATGTAGGCCACTTCTATTGACTAAGGGTTACCAATAATCCTTGGTCTGTGGTCTCTTTGTGTAATGGAATAGGTCATCCTAGAGATCTAAATATGGAAAAAATATATATCGATATTTTCCCCAAATATATCGAAATAGTAAATCGATACTTTTAATATTTAAAAAGAGTGGGTTTATAAATATCGAATAATGATATTGATACATACGGTATCCATAGCTATCAAGTATATCTAATTTTAAGTGTTTTGCTCCTCTTTATTAATTTCTAGAAGGGAAACATGATTAACATTGGATTGAAGTTTTAAATTTTTAATAGTCTTAATAGCAAATATCAAATATTTATGTTTATTATAAAAAAAATATATATATATATATCAATTTATTGACGTTTGTTAACTAAAGAACAAAAATTTATTTGTAGTAATAAGAAATAGAAAAAAATCAGTTGACAAATTACAGATGATTTTACGTTAAAAAAATTTTTTAACTGGCACATTGTCCGATCATAATTTTTAATTCATGATTAAGTAAAATGAGACTGGTCACCGCAATAATAAAAGAAACCATAGTTATAAAAGTGAGAGATTTGTTGATTTTTTTTTTTAACTTTAGAGGAATGTATTTTTGAATAATTCAGTTATTGGTTAATGGACTGTTCAAATTTTGAAAATAATATCTCGAAATGGAAACATAGTATTGGAGTATGGTATTTCGTTCAATAAACGTATTGAAAAAAAATCTGTACGGCGATCACACAACTTTCACTTATCGCCCTCTTAGCAGAAATAAGTATGTTCAGACGAAGAGTCACTCCCTCTTAACTAAAAATTATAAACAGTGATCTATATTTCATTGTGGATATTTTTATTTGTTTAAGTACCCTTATATATATATATATATATATATATATACATACAAATTTTAATATTTATAAACAATTAAATATTAAATAATACCAACGAAAACATTTATGAAAACCGCATACGTATATGTACTTAATATTGTCTGAGTTCATATTATATTAATCTCATGTTACTATGGTTATGGTTACTATAAGCCTGTTATAATCTTCGGGCGAGCTCTCGTATTCCTTTAGTTCCTTCATTACAACTATTCTCTGTTACGATCTCTTATTTCTCCTTTTGTTAATTATCAAATTCTTTCATATTTTAAATTTAACTATTTATTATATTAGAGATCAATGTGAAATGCCTAATTGTTACAAATAAAAAAAAAAAAAAAGGCACTTTATAGAGAGCTAATATTAAAAATTATCCATTCAAGCCTTTAGAGACTATCAATCAGCATAAAACCAACGTAACATTGAAAACTGCTTGATTTTGCACTGATATAATGAATTTAATCAAAATCGTTGGAGCTGTTTTTGAGAAAATCCTAAAAATGCCACTTTCAGTTAGCCGATTTTAACGTAAAAGTTGCTGTAATATCTCAAGTATATACAAACATTAAATATGCAATTTCTCTTTCCTACTATTTTTCATTTTTGCACACACTAGCCATTTCGCGGGACTTAGTTATTTGGACTAAGGAGACCTTAAAACATGTATTTCCGTTTAAAACCCAGATTCGACAATTTTCACGGTCGCAATACTGTCCCTTACTATATATTTAATGTATTGGTAAGATAAAGTAAAATTATTAAATTAAATCATTAAACGTTTCGAAAATTTTCTCTCTGGAAATTCAGACCTTAGGCGGCTATACTGAATTATTTTTGATGTGCGTGTATAAAATAGTGTTATATTATGTAATTTTTGCTTGTCGTATATTTTCGTACAAAATTTGATAATAAAAGATATATATCAGTTATGTAGTCGATATTATTGAATTTGTCTGTCATGTTTGGTAAAATTGGTACTTTTACTTTGTACCACTAGAGACCAGTGGTATTGTTTTAATAATAATATAATTATAATATTTTATTTTAAAAATTATTATTAAATAAATTATTTTAAAAATGTATTTCATGGTTGCCGCTCCGAACGATACTGGCTTAGCGATAGCATTTCTGGCGTTTGTTCATTTTTATTCGTTTTCTACCAGATCACCTTGACCCTTCAGTTCAGGAACGAACTTTATCCCTGTTACATTTTCTGCATTGCATTCATTGCAAAAAATATTTTTTACGCTTCAGTATCGAAATCTTTCGATTTTTTTATTTATTTATTTTTTTATTTAATTTTAAGGTATGTCCTTCTAATAGGTTTTGATGACGTTTGATACTATCTTTCCGGGAAGATGTTGACGTAATTAGTCGGTAATGGTTAGCACTTAGAAAGCTCTGGAAGAAGGTTGTGCATTCTTCCTCTTCACCCTTGTTTGATTTAGCCGTCGCCACTGCCTTACTAAGCAGCTAAGCATGCGGCTCCAGGCATCCGCTTTTTGCCCTACATACCTTCCTTTGTCTCTTCAGTATAGATGATTCAACCATTATGCCAATCGATATAATAAACCTTGTCTATCCCTTTCGATACATGGAATTTATTTAAAGAGATGGTGGCAGATCTCAAGAACTATAAAAAAAAATTTCAAATCAACTATAGCCCAATTTTCATGAAAATAATTCAAAAAATCATTAGGTATCTTTATTTTAAACGTAAATATTAGGATTTGAAACATTTAATTGCTCACTTACAAATACGGATAGATTCCTATTATATAAATGTGGATAAAAACATTTAAGTCATTATCACTTCAGCTTATAAATATTTGAGAAATCATTATCTTTAACATTTTTTTTAAAGAAATAAAATAAAATGTGTTTTTAGGGATATAGACTTATTATAAAACATTCCTAAATAATAATATATATAAAGCTAAAGGAAATAAAATATATTAAAGCTTTGCAATAATTTATTGTAGTCATTTCTATTGAAAACTCTATTACTTTTAGTTGACTGGATGTCAAATCACATCAAATTTTTACACAACTTGGAGTGAATCTAAACTTTTTTTCCTAATAAATCTCAATTTAATTAACTCTGACTTGAACCTTTTTAAACAAGAAAGTTTTTATAAAAGTTGTATATCTGTAGTTGGAGGCTAATGAAAAAAAAAATCAGAGCTTAGTTTAATTTAGCCACTATTCGAGTCCTCTTTGAATGGTTTTAATAATTACAAACTCTACTGTCATTTTAACTAAATTTTATCTGATTTAAAATGAAATCAGTTTTAAATACTTAAATTAAATATATTTAGTTACTACAGCAGTACTTTTCAAAATCACTCAATGTTCTTATATATGGTGTCTTCAAGGAATATATAAGCCCTTATAATTAATTTTTTTTTATTCTACTTCCAACGTCGTTTCGAGCTGATTAGCTCGTTATCAAGTCATCAAAAAATTTGTATCTAATAAAATGTATATCTATATTATAATTTCATTGAACAAACATTTTTAGTAGTACCGTACAGATTCCCGTGTCATTCGATAAACTTCAATAAATGCGGAAACGAGGAGGCGAGGAATATGATTATGTTTTGTATTTGGTGTACTACTAGTGGTTGTTCAATGAAATTATAATATAGAATACATTATATACATATTATTAGATACTATATACATTTTATTAGATACAAATTTTACGATGACTTGATAAGCAGCTCGAAACTTCGTTGGTAGTAGAATAAAAAAAAATTAAAGTATGAGAGCTTATATATTCCTTGAAGACACCACATATAATAAATTGAATATTTTTTTGATTATCGCTTCATATTCAACAAAAAACGTGACTACACTGAACTTAAATTTGCTAGTTTTCTGCGGAAAATCGGACCATAGTTTATATGAAATTTTTGTAGCTCGTTATGTCTATTATCACCTATTAAAATATTTCCCTTTACTTACGGGGCACCTTACTATACTGAAAATACGAGATGGTTTAATAGAATCAGTTGCGTTAAAGTCATGAGAAAGGCTTTATGCCACCCTCTTCACAAACTTGTATAAATAAATAAACGGTTTTTTAAAATTATTTTCTTTGTTGCATTTCTTTCTGAAATAGCAGAGAGATATCTAATCCAGGTCAGTCGGACTGTTTGTTAGAGATAAACTTTATTTCTTATGCATTTCTCGGAATGTTTGTGAAATACCGAGATTATGTTTCTCTTCTTCTTCTTACTATAATGCTATCATAAAAAAATAAAAATAAATTAGTGTTAAAAATCAAAGATTTATAGTTCGAAGAATAGCTGATTTGGCTTCTTCGTATAAAATACTTGACAAGATTTTATTTGCCTAATATTTCTTGTTTGTTTAGTGGGAATTCGTTCCTCTTAATCATAATCATTAAACATTTCATGAGATTGAAATATATATATATATATATAATTCAATCTCAGGTTACAAAGATCTGAGATCACTGGTGATGGTGATATAATTTCAGAGAATTTACTGTGATTCATTAATATAAAAATAATCTTATTTTTTCGAATTAGTATTTTATTGAGGAACAAATTTAGTTGTGGGCAATGGGTATTATAACTAAATGTAAAACATTTATAAAATAAAAATAAAATGGATGGCTTACTTATTTATAAACTTTAGTGTATCAATTTCACTTTCTCCATGAAATCTTATAACTGACGCTCGTGTTATTAGTAGATTTTGTAAAATAATATAAGGAAATAGTATTCACAATTATGTTTTTCTTCAATAGAATTTTTTTTTCTTTTTTAAATTTATTTTTATGAATGTACAAGCTTTTATGGGTTAGTCATCGAATAAATGTTGAATAATAAAATAAAAATAGGTACTACCTTCATCGTAAAAAATTTAAGAACGTCATTGCATTCATTATCTGATTTTATCTTGCAGATTTTCATGATTCCTGAACTTGCTATTTCATAAATGACTAACTATTTCATTATTAAGTTTCATAAATGTTTTAATCCGTGGTTATTATTGTTATATTTTTCGTAGTATATATGTTTTACTATATATACTTCTTTTTTTTTTATGCAGACGTACTCCGGCCTCTTCTGCGTCGTGGTGAACCCCTACAAGAGGATGCCCATCTACACGGAGAAGATAATGGACAGATATAAGGGGATAAAGCGCCACGAAGTACCTCCTCATGTCTTCGCCATTGCTGACAGCGCCTACAGGTCCATGCTTCAAGGTAAGGCTAATTATACTATATAACTATGGCATATTATTATCAATTGCGAAGAAGCAGTAATAAGAACACGATAAAAAAAAAAAAATTATTGTAGTCCGGATCGCCGCCTATGCACTAGATCAACAGAAAATATTTATCGCCCAACGTGTGATAACATAAGAATCCAACACGTCATACAAGGTGTCATGTACTGAATTAAATATTGATATTATTCACAGGAATTTATCTTTGACTGATTATACTGTTAAATAAAAATAACTATTATCTGGCCCGTATATTAAATGCTTCTTATCTTTGTTGCATTCTTGCATTGGTTTTGTTAGGTATTTTTATAATTACACTATTCTGTAAATAATGCTGCTATAGAATTGCTCACTTCTATTGCATATGGATATTTCAATTCCGCACCCAACTATAATACTTGTTTTTAATAGTACGGCTTTGTTCCTTAGCGGCTTCCTCTTATATATTTAAATTTTTATTTTTTTTTTAACTTTTATTATGATATTTACAACTGTATTAGTATGAATATATCAAGTAAATGTGTACATAGGAATATGATCACATGAAACACGCTTGTTGAGAAACTACCCATTGGTAGCACTCTAATAATTTGTCTACATCAGGAGATCACGAAGCCATCTTCTTTTCAGACGCCTCGGAGGGTTATCAGGAATTGAAGAGGAAGCAAGTTTAGAAATTAGAGGATTCGGATGGTTATGAAGTTAATTATGGAAGGATAGGTATTTGGATTAGGCCAAATATGATACATAAGGAACATTAAGGTCATTATGGATAATTTTATTTGTAACAAAGTAAGGAGCATTGAGGATTTTACGGATTTTGGATTGTAAGGATTGGATGCGAGAGGAATTTGTAGGTTTGGTGGAGCCCCATAGCTCAACTCCGTAAGTCCAAATAGGGCTTATTATAGTCATGTAAATGAGTCTTTTATAATTGATTGGAAGGTTAGAGCGTTTGTCTAGTAAGTGTTGGAGTAAGCGGAAACGTCGAGCAGTTTCTTGTCGTTTCAGTCTTGTATGAGGATTCCAAGTTAGACGTTTGTCCAGATGGAGTCCTAGGTAACGGATTTGTTCAACAGGAATAAGTGAGGTGTTGTTAAAGGATACTGAACGACAGGAAGTCATTGGTTTACGACGAAGGGTGAAGGTAATTTGATGGGATTTATTGGAAATATTTAAAATTAAAAAACAACTTTAGAGACTATTTTGCCGTGTTAGCTGGTCATAAATCTACCAATATAATCTGTGTTAACCTAGTCATTATTAAAAAAAAAAAACAACACTTAATATGAGATGGAATGGCCGATGACCTATATTTATATAGATAGCATTGCAGCCTTTGATACAGTTAGGCGTGCGAAGATATTTGTCGCTGTTCCCAAGCTGAATTGTATCAGCATAGAATACATCCTCTAGCTCTCACAGTCCCGCTACAAATAAAACGGTTTGTTTTCGTTATTTAGCAGAGGTCGTTGTTCGTTTATTGCCCGTCCTTCGTTTGGTATTAAGTCTCAAGTTTCGATAGGAGGCTAACTTTGCGGGTTCGATTGAGGAAGTAGGAAACTTCGCGTTCGATCAGCCATGTGTAACATACCCGTGTCACTAGCTTCGTTAAAGATCCTTCGTTGATCCAACGGTAAACTTCGCGATCCTGGTTATCAAGCATTGGAGTTCAAAAAAAGAATTCATTACTGATCAAATGCTACGAAAGATGTTTCTTAATTTTTTAATCACTCCTTAACGAGAATATGAATTTTAAACATCAAATGAGGTGTCAGAATCAATTAACTGTAAATATTAAAATGATTTACATATAAATATTTCTGCTTCTCCAGTACCATAAAATGCATATTTTTTACATGGGATTTTTTACACTTTACGAGTTTTTTTAACATTTGTGTTTATAGTACTTTGGCTTAGTGCTATTGTAATAATTTTGAAAAATGTTTGGTATATAATAACTTTTGACTGTGGTAAAATTTATTTCATACTGTAATCTGATTGATCCCAAATATATACATATATATAAATACTAATATATATATATATATATACTAATGAACTGAAATCAATTTTGAAAAAAATCTGTACATGGTGTACTCTTTGAGTCCTGACTCCCTCCGCTCTTCTTACATTAGCTTAAAATATACTATAAGTTAATTATATTAATTTTTCGTTATTTTAAGTAGTTCTCTCTCTCTCTCTCTCTCTCTCTCTCTCTCTCTCTCTCTCTCTCTCTCTCTCTCTCTCTCTCTCTCTCTCTCTCTCTCGCTCTCTCTCTCTCTCTCTCTTTTTTTTTTGGGAGGAGGGGGGAGGGCGTAAAATTGTGATCTGAAAATTCGAGTTTTAAGTTGGCTATTTCATTTATTTTTCTGTTCTGTCAGGAACTGTAGAGAAAGAATATTTGTGATTCATTCGGAATAGCTCGTGCTCGTTGGTTAAGTAAGCTAATTTACTATGAAGAAGAGAAAAGAAAGTGTGGAAAACTTTTGTTAGTTTACTTAAAAGCGTAATATTGTGCAAAATCTGAATTATATCTCTAGAGATTAAAGGCAATTGTATACATGATTATTTTTTTAATTTATAATTTTATCTTTATATTTTTCTTTGATTCTATATGTTTTAGATGGCCAAACATATGTAAAAATCGTTTATAGAATCTTTCTAAATGTCCGTTTTAATGTCTTCAAGTAGCCAAATATATTTAATTAATTTCTTAAAACTGATTTTTATCGGTGAGGCATAAATCAACAAATTTAACATTTTCTAAACCAAATCCCCACATATATTATTACAGTAAGGCTCGAAATCGGTTTTTTACCAAATATAAGCACCTGTCATGTTCAAATATCATTAATGGAGTACCGTTGGATTCAAAGTTTCACGGGGGAGGAGTAGCGAATCGTATTCTCCACTTTTGTTTTTCTTTCTAAAATAACTAAAGTCGAGAAACATTTTGCAAGGCTTCAATACTGGAACGGTGGTAAGTCTGTAGATCGATACGGGACAAATTGTGCTTTGAAAGAGTTTGATTCGTTTTTAAGCCCAAAAACTTACTACTTTCGAGATAACGCAAGGCATAGGGTTTGCATCAACACAATCTTCTTATGTTAATTGTAGTACTTTCATTGAATACATAACTCATTTCGTCGACTTGAGGCCTCTATGATCGAGAGAGGAGGAGTTTATATCATTTATCGATGGTGTTTTTGATCGGCAAGCCATATCATCGTTAATTCTTCTCTAAATCTCTAGATTAAGCCACCAATTTTGAAGGCTTCCTTCTACTTCGGGCGGTCAAATAGTCCAATCATCCCAAAAATTCAGACAAACATGTTATGAAAGAAAAAAAACTTTATTTGCAAACTACTAAAAAATTACGCACTTTTCCCTGGGTTATGCTCATGATTATATAAAAGATTACTAAATTTCCTACAAAAGGAAAAAAAAATCATCGAAATCGGACAATTTTTAGTAAAGATACAGCTTATTGAAATTCGTAAACATGTAGGTTCCAAACATTAATGAAGTTTTTAGATTAATTTTTGTTTTCCTTGTCGATTATATTTATTGATAAAGTAGCAATTGATTTCTTTATCTTTTGATACGTTGCATTATTTTATTGTCTTATTAATTTGGAATTTCATCACTTAACAATAAGTTGTGCGAATTTTTCGCACGGGCCTACTAGTTCAATTAATTTTAACTTTTCGAATTTTTAAAATTGTCTATTTACTCGTAGATCGAAAAATTCCAAATAGTTGAAGTACATCTAAAGTTGAATTTGAAATGATGAATTTGATTGTTTGGAAAAAGTTGCTTTTGCCTTGGAATTAGTTGAATATTACTTTGAAGTACTATATATCAATGAAATAATTTTATTTTTAAACGTTAAAACTCTTTGGCAACATGCTGCAACGGGAATTTGATGTTTGTAGTGTAGAGTTGGAACTAACAACTCCGTTAGAGGTTTCCTCTACAAAGACCTGTATTGCTGCTCTTGCATATGGATGAGCCCTAGTCCATTAGTAATGGCTTCTGCGGATCTCCGCTCGTCTTCAACTAATCAAATGCTCCTTAGTACTCTTCACTACCATATGTCCTTTCCTTTTCTCCAGTATATAGTATTATTTTTTATATATTTTTTATTTTATGAAATATTTATCGTTAGTAGTGTTGAAATAATTGCAAAACTTCTATGAATCTTTCTTTATAAAAATTGTCAGTGCTCTTTCTTAGAGCTGGAGAAAACCTAGTTTTTTGTTTTTAATTACAGGAGTTTGTTTAAATTTATCTAAAATGGTATAAAAGTATCAGCTTATTTTGCTTCCTTACTACACAAGGTAGAGAAGCATTGTATTCGTGTGAGCGGTTAAACGTTTTTTTCGTTCCTCTGAATCGAAAATTTCCAGTCGCGTTTTATGTTTCGGACTTCGAGGATCAAATTTGGTTCGGCATCTGTCTGTCTGTAGTCAAATCGATGTGACCGGCATATCACATACTACCGTTCACCCGATTTTCAAGAAATTCCGTCCAGCGCTTTCGCTTGCACGCCCGTAAATTTATTTTCATGGATATGCCAATATTTCTGTATTTATGTAGAATTAATTTTGATATGTGAATTACCAATTTTTTAGAATAATAAATGAATATATTAATATACAAATAGTATATGATTCTCATGTTTAGCTAAACAAATGTTTAGCTTCGCTCAAGGGAAATATCAGAGTATCCTGTAATGTGTAAATAATTCAAAAATATTTGAATATATTGACAATGTTTCTTTTTTGTTTTAAATTCAACTGAATATTCTATTTGTGACTCCGGTACTGAACAGAATTATTTTATTATTGAAATGGGTATGGGTGCTATTGAATGTAAATTGCCTGTAGCAGACAGGGCAAAATTCAAAAGGCACTAGTTGTGATGAAGTAGTGTAGTGGTGTATGGCTGCCGTTGGAATATTGAAATGGCCGTGAAAGGGGGGTAAAGTTTTCCCCTCCCCATTTTGTCCACTCCATTCAATGCTCTCTTTGAGCTAGTTTTCAAAAGGATTGAGCTCTTGCCTTCATAATTTGCTCATTTTATCATTGAAACATGATTTATAATCGTAATTAATTAGAACTTTATGGTATTTTAATTTGTTTTCTTTTTTAATTTATTTTTTGTTAGTGACTTGTGTTTTAGTCTGTTAGCCGTATGAAAGAAAATAATATTGTTTTGACATTGTTTCCCAAAATGAGGGAAGGTGTTAAAAAAAGCAATTAAGTGACTCAAGTCGCTGTTATACTTAGTTCAACCGAAGAGCTCTGTCTAATAAATTTAAAAATTATTTATTTGTAGTTGTATTGGTCGCTTTAATCTCTCTTTATCTGATGCTAAACAATTTTCAAGGGTTGCGCCTTTTTTATTTATTTTTTTTTTTATTCTTGGACTTAGATGTTGTTATTTTAACATTAAATAAAATTTAAGTTATATTAAAGGACTGAAAATAGTATAATCCTGGCTTTACTTTAATATATATATATATATATATATATATATATATATATATATATTTCTTATTTATTCCTTTTCTGAAATTAAAGGAGCTACTGTAAACCTTATACTATAAACCTCTCTCTTTAATTTACGGTGCAGACAAACCCATAAAGCTGTGAACATTAAGTGAGGTCTAGGTCAAAGTTTATCTGATCTAGACCGCTTTCCCAGAAGCTAGGGCATGAGAAACGTTAATCGATTCTTTGCCGTCGATGTAATTTTACGCTTTGATATTGATTTAATCAAACTTTTTTATTTTTCTCAAGAATTTGTCATCTTACACAGTATTAGAATAAGAGCTTAGTCAAAAGAGAGTAGTGAATCAACTTTACAAAATATAGTTGTATGAATCTCTTTTTTCGGCGCTCAGGAGCGGTAAATTTTGATTATCGAGGTGTCAAAAGAAAAGGAATTTCATGGAGAAGTGACGAATCCCTATTTCGACCCCAAAATCGTATTACAACTTCAAAAACAGTCATTGAAAAAAAAAATAACAGGTTTCAAAAAACCGACAGTGCTGATTCGATGGATCGAAATGGGACTTATTTTCGACTAAAGATTTAAAGATGTATGGACATCAGGAATGTCTTCGGGCTATACCGAGTCTCTTATTTACAAACTTTGAATGAATTCAGAGACCTCTTCGCTGCCTTCCCGCTGGGTAACTTAAATCGTTTAAAATTAATCCATGAATATATTGATAGAGGAATAAGTACTAGGTATAAATAATTTCAAGTCCCTCACCAAAATCCTGCCAAAATATTGCTTTATTAATCAATATAGTTGTATTATTATTATATATTTTATTCTCGCTTTTGCGGATTTAAAGCGGGGGACAAGTCCAACCACCTGCAGTTATAATTTTTTTTTTAGATATTAAAATAGATAAAACGTTCTCGTAATTCTGGCTGTATCCAAGGAAACCGCTAGCTGAGCCTCTCTTAACACATCCAGGGGTAATTCCAAGCCGTCCGTACCTGCCAC